TTTATATTTTCATTATTGCGATTTCATTGTCAACAATAAATCAAACAACTAGATACAAGCCCTCTATCACATTTTTTTTGTGCATAAGCCAAAAATCGGAAAGGGTTTATGAAAATTTAAGTACATAGATGAGATTACCTTCTGTAGTATCTACTTTGCTGTATTCGACAGTGATTGTACTAAGTAACTGCAAATTGAAACCGCACCGCCTCATTCACTGTCACAGGCGGCCTTGAGCCATGTAACCAGTAAGGATGAAACGATACCATCTAGGTATCGATACTTTTACTTGATACTGTATCGGTCATAAAATATCGATGCCTACTCGGTATCTAATGAAAATTATCGATACTTACTTGTATCTATAAATTTTGACGAACGATATTACAAATTCAGTGGTGTCAATTGTGGCATGATTCTCTAAACTTAAAACTAAATTTAACATCAGGCTCTCCTTTTCATTCTGTATAGAGAATGACAAAGATATACTGTTGTCTAATTTAAGTTTATGTTTAGATAATCATGCCAGAATCGACACCAGTCACAGTTTTAATTTAACGAAATAAAATAACGGCTTAATCTGATCTTAAATAAATGACTGAATAAATTGGAAAAAATATAAATCATACGCAAGGCTGCCAACTGAGCAGTAGAAAGATGCGTTCGCGAAACAAAAATTTCAACTGGACACCTTACCGTACAGTAAATAATCTGCCTATGAGTTTTTTTTATACTTCTCAGTGAGTGACCAACCGAGTACCGATGCAAGTACTTACCTCACGATACTACTTGTTACTCAGTTCTATCGTATCGATGCCAAAAGAACTTATTATCGAAAGAAAAGTATCGAGTAGTTACTTGTATTTAGTCGTATCGTTTCATCCCTAGTAACCAGGCGTTTATTTTGTAAAACGCACTTCACACCTCTGCATGAGGTCACTCATAAGCTCTTTAAGCCTAATTGATGACAACATAAGCAACTTTGCGACTTATCTATTGTTGTTACGGATTTTTAATGTCACTATGATTTCTCTAGAATCTAATATCAATTTATCTTTTTCCTGTTAACTGGTTGTACAGATCTAAGTTTATTCAATAACCGCTGCGTCGTTGGTTGCAGCACTGATTTTGCTGCTGCAATAGTAAACAGATGGCCATACCACTTGCTCAGTGTCGACCTCGGGTATCGACGCACAATTTTCAGTACAATAAAGATATTCCTAAGCGGTTTCATGCATCTGGTAAGGTTTAGAGTCCAGCAGTGCAGTGAGCATTCAAATGCAGATGAGTGAGATATGACCGCTTACACTAATAGCAGTTATTTTCAAATCTATGCCAGCTGTCAGTATGTCTCTCCAGTAGCGACCTACTTGCAGTATTGTTGGAAACCTTACATCATTTGCGAACGTCTTAGGCTCATCTTGACCTATTTGCTTTACAGTACTTTCCATTAATTTACAGGTACTAACGACATGTTATTTTTTCTACATTTATATTTACATATCAATTGCATAATTTCTTTGACTATATCAGGATTTCGTTGCAATTTTATGTTCATTTTTGAAGTGAAAACTTGTTTAGCGGCGTTGTACACTTTTTTTTGTATGGGTAAAAAATGTTAAACTCGCGTCAGGTTAAACACGGGGGCTGATCGCATCATGACACACGATGAAATTGGATAGGTTGTTGATTATCAATATATTGGATGAATCGTAGTAATATTTTATTTTAGCGTATTATAATAATAAGTCTCTATCTAGGACGTCCACGTGGCAGCTTTATTGCGAAAAAAATGCATTTTTTTTCAATAGATGTCGCTAGGTGCTCTTAAATGTGATTCATGTAAGTTGATTTCTTTACAATAGATGTCGCTAAGTGCTACCTTAAGCTATTCATGTAAGTTTTCTGAGAGATAAACTTTTTTAATGTAATATAAATTGTCATGTTTGTGTACGATAGCGCAATAAATAAATATTGTAGTCTACCACATACATGATAGTACTTTTATACTGATAATTAAAGCAATTCGTGCAAAATTATTCCCTAACCATTCCAAACTATCAAAAATGCACAACGTTAATATTCAAGTTTTCACTTCTCCCGGGGTGCAACCCGTCGTTTTTTTTTATCTAACTCAGTTCCACAGTCTATATTGTAGCTAATGGCAGAACGCGATTCTTCTTTGTAACAGTCGGGAATACAAATTATGAGATATTTTTTACAACATAATTTGTTAGACGTTCGTGACATGCTCGTTGTAACATTTATTTCTTCAATGAAAGATGGCATGTGAAATTGCGAAGTCGAAGACATAGTACAGTAGTATTTTGAGACGAATCTCGATGTTAGTAACGCGCGGACATTTTTATTAGCTAAGGCGCGAGCGCAGACAAATTTCCACTGAGTTCAGCGACCGAATCAAATGATGAAAATTCTAAAAGTACGAAATTTACTGTGATAAAGTATGATATTTTTTTAAATAAAGATATATTTATCAAAATAGAAATATTTTATACGAAACTGGGAGCTTAAAATAAAATAATTCTTTAATAGAGACAGAAGAAAATAATATTAAAAGATAACGAATTATTATAGTGAACTGAATTGGGTGTATTTTGCCATTCTAAACAATTCTATAGAAGTATGTATAATTAACTGGAAATAAAAGAAACTACTTAAAATGCCAATGAAACAAGATAAAAATAATGATCTCCCAATATGTACATATAAATGTTGCTGACCAAAAATGAGTTTAAGTTGAATAAATACTGACGTATTTATTCCTCTATACACTGATGCTATGCTAACAACATTCAGAACTACTTACCATATTCGAAGTAACTAGACCATATTAGGAGATCCGATTAGAAGTTTGTGTCAATCATCTACATTAAGGTATATCAATGTATACAGTCTACCAATCATTACTTATTTACCTATAACTTCATGCTAATCTGTGGCAACAAGATTAGAAGAAAACCTAGATTTATTTAGATGGATGCCAATAATGCCGTTGTTTACTGACTTGTGCTTTCTTCCTTGTCACTTTTCATAAGACCCAGAATTTTCATCTCATTCTAAAATTTGAATTTTCAACTTTTTTATCTTGTAATTATCTTGTATAATGTAATTTGTATCAATTGTGAAACTGACCAAATACACTTACCAGTTCAATGTATCTGTGCCTGCCTGATATAATTATTATATTGTATATTATTATTATTATATTTTTTCTATTATAATTTGAAGAATAATGATTTATTTTTAAGTAAGGATAATATATTGATGTCGATGAATCTGTGCGTTTGAATACAAATGGACAATATTTCACGAGTCAATCACGATCATGTCAGAATTGCAATAAATGTAACCCCTGGTATAAAATGATGGGCAAGCTACCTCCACGAAAGTTATTACTTGTTTTACGATCAGTCTTAAAACTTTAAAATACATCTTTTTTTGTCTACCAGAATCTGGCGAAAATAGCTATACTTCACCTTGTGCTCTTCTAAGCATGTTATCAGCTTCTTTATCTCATTGTATATTCTAAATATTTACAACCATTTTGGAGAGCGATTACAGAATTTTTTATAATCCAAGTACTGTCTTAAGAATATAGTAAAAATTCTCTTACGAAAACTTTTCTATGATTCTTATGTCTTGTAACATTATTCACGTTTCGATAATTTTTGTTTTTAGGTAGAATTCGGTGTTTTAACTATGTATATGTCAATTACTTCATATTATTGGGGCTTCATTTAAATCAATCATCACGCTTCTAATTTCTTCGGTATGGATAGTAAAATAATTATGAAAAATATTACAGTATTACAGGATTCCAAAAGTTATAATTTGAGAACAGTGTGACCTATTTGGCCAATTGGAAATTATATGTATAACTAAAATTTATGTTTGTAGTATAAAAGATCGAAATCCAATTCAGAAAATCCACTGACATATCAAAAATTAAAGTGTATTAAAATGCTCATATTTATTTATATATTTTCCATATCCTAATGTAAAAAATTCTCACCTTTCGCTTGGGTTATAAAGTTGGTAAGTACCAAAAGATACAACACGACCCTTGTTTGCTTACGTTGCCCAAACTACCATTTTGTGTCTGGCGGGAGTCTCTTAAAATGCATGAATGTTATCGTTATCACACATCGAAACGAGAAACCTTTTACGTCAACGTGCTTAGCTTAGATTACCTTCAAACAATCATTTAGATTAAACTATGAAATGGTGCCATTAACCATTGTATTGTGTATTTGTGGGTTAGTGATAGGGTCCAAAACTACAGCACGAAATTGTTGTATTGATTAGGTATTTCTTAGGAAGTGCTAAAATATTTTTCCATGGACTGACTGACATAGGAAGAACGGTCCATTACCTACCACGCGGGCCTAGAGCCGATTGGTGGGTCTGGAATGGATTTTATCACATTCCTTGAAGATACCAAGTATATTTAAATTCCAAACTATACGTATATGTTATAGTTGTTGCATAAACATCTTTCAAAACGAACGCAGCTGAAACAATGACCGCTGTGAATTGTATTCAATTAGGACTTCCTATTCTACGCCTCACAATCTAAAACTTAATGGGTATATGACCGTGTAGCTTTCTTTGTAGTGATTAGGTATTATAAGAAAAGTTATGTTTAATAAATTAAGTTGCTTAGTATGTTTTGATATTATTTTAGTTGATGGAGACGTTTTCAACATTAATTTCTTTAGATTCAGTTTAAATGCAAATATGTTTCTAATGGAATTCTCAGCATCAGTTATATATATATAAATAGTAAAAATAAACACCATAATGCTTGTCATATTACGTAAGTATCTATGCATTACTTGGCATATTTCTGGAAATTACATGATTAAATGAACTTAACATATGAAGATCTACCTGAATTATCCTGTTATCGCCAATTATTTATTACTATTATCTATTCGGTTTTCTTCACGAACAACAATTACAATAGTTTGAAATCATAGTTGAACGCTATAGTGAAAAGCTCAGTGAACTGTGAACAGTGTGCGTAGATGAAAATAAACTCATCAATGACAAAACCAAATCCCATATCGAAGACCGAGTCAAAGGCTTTACGTTAAATGCCTCCCACGGAGACTGGTCACGACGGCATGCTGTGCCTGTCGAGACATGACAATTGCCTCTGGGATCAAGCCCTCAAGTCTGCCCAGCTTGACTGGTCTGGCCTGCAATACTCCTGTTTGAAGATCTTGCACTTATATTGCAAGGTGTTCGACAGAGAAGATGTTTTGGAATTCGTAATTAGGTAAGTTAAAGTAAAAATCAGGATCAGATTTTTTTTATATATTTGTTTTAACTGGATTCCTTGCGATGTTACCTACCATACCTACTCCGATAGATCAACAAGATTTTATCAGTCCTTAACCGTCGTTTAGCGTTCACTATCAAATTCATAACCCTTTCCTTTTTATCTTTTTATCCTAATACTAATGTTTTGTGTAAAAAAATATAGCCACTGACAATTTGGATGTACCTATTCTGTCGGTTTACCGAACAAAATAACAGTCTTTACTGAACAATTTTCTACGCTAAGGGCCACTTGCAACAAACTTTCTGAATTTCGATTTAATCCATAGGAAAATTCAATTGACATTATTGTATGGGATGAGTGGATTAATCCAGTTTTAGTTAAATTGAGATTTAGCAAATTGCTGCAAGTGGACCTAATGATTTAAATATTGATTTGTAATGTGACAGGATTGCTTAGGGGCCAATGTTTTATTCTTATTTATTGCTTGCCTGCTCTTTCTTAAAATAACAAATACCTACATTGAGTATTTGTTAAGGTTTTATTGTCTTGTTCGTAGAAATACGAGCATACCGTCCAGAAATGTTAATGTAAGTTGTCTCTTGAAGGATGAACGCAAATTAGGCATTAGTCATTTGTCATAAACTTTGCAAATGTTATTTACATGGAACTAATTGTCAAACACTGTGCTGGGTAATAAAATTAACGAGTTTTGGCATTACTTTGTTACTGCTATATAAATCTATTTTAAGATTTGAAAATAAAATTATTTGGAATATTTTTTCTTAATAGCCTTTCTTGGAATTTAAAAAAATCAAAGCACCTTTAATTAGCTGGACCATATGTTTGTCTCTACCGAATTGATACAAATGTTACCCTAAAATTGTAAATGATAGTCATGATGGTTTCCGCAATCGATCTGTATGTCCGTTCTCCTGGAACCGGGAAATGTTCTCGCATTAAGTCGACCATTAACTCTTTTACGACCAACTGATGGCCGCAAACTAAATTTTAATAGCAACGAAAATGTCAGGAATGGTTGGAATCGACATGGGCATGGTCTTTGGTTGTGACTTGTGATTGTAAACATCGTTGTCTATCACAACATTTCACTGGTTTCGTGTATAAAAATAGGTACTGGAACATGAAGGCTTTGTAAATGTGAAGCATGCTTTATCTAGATGATTTTATAGCTGTTACCACGTCTATTATTCAGCAGAAAACTCTACTAGACTTGTATCGTTTCGTCTTTGTTATTGGTTCATGATAAAACACTGCTATTATAGCGACCCGAAACAATAAGTATGTTTCCTTATTGGAAGTTCCGCAACGTTATTTTGTTACGGTATTAAAAGGACATATATGTATGTAGGTTAATTAGTTTTAGCACAACACAGTTAGTCTTGTGACTAGACTGACTGTGTTTTTCCAATAAAAAAATACTGTTAAAATTAAAAAAAAACTAAATTATAATTTCAACAACGTATATCATCATCATGTTATGCTATCATAGGAGTTGGTAAAATCGGCATTGCTGAAGATAAATTAGATAAAAAAAACTAAATTGTGTGTTAAAATTTTTAACTTGGATAAACTTGGATGCTTGGCTAAGAAAACGGCAAAATAAAATATGTATTTATAACTAATTCAAATAAAATATCTACATTCACAGAATAATGAAACGAATTAACTATACTAGTGAGTAGACATTTTCAGAAAACGTATTTAGTCATGTTATTTCTCCAAATCGTTCGAAGACTCATTCGTAATTGTTCCATTAGTTTGCTTTACGCATGTAGAACAAAGATAAACTATATTCGATGCAAATGATTCAAATGAAGGCACTTGTATTGAAAAATTTTTATAATGAGACCAGAGTAACAATATTCATCACATACTTATTGATTCTAGAAACATACTTCGACTTATAGTCATCCGAGGTGATACATCAAAAAAATAGTGTGGTTTTAAAGAGCACAGTTGCAAGTAAAACTTTTGAAATCTTTCATAATAAAAACGAGTGTGCTTATGACCACACGACTGAAGTGAATCTTCTTTAGCTCCATCTGTATAAGTTGTTTTTTATACATATATGTGTGTGTGTACAATATATATATATATATACATGTATGTACATATACACATATAGCTAGCTATAAGAGAAAGAAAGAAAGAAAATGTGCGCGCGCACTGCTTTCTCTTGCTTATATCCCCCACTCAACTCCCGTTCGCCTCGCCCGAACACACTTTTCGTAACGCGTAACGCATTTGCCAGCTTACTCCCCAAGTCAAGTGTGCGTAAAGAAGTTGCACTTCAAAAAGTCTTTCCTCAGCAGCTGGAAATCGAACTTTTTAACAATGAACCACAGATTGTTAATATGATCTGAATATTTACAAACAATTAGAAATGTAATGCCACATTCTAAATATGAACGAAAAAATAGCGGCACTAAAATAAAAGATTCACTTTAAAAAAAACAACCATGGCAACTAGAATTCTAATCACGCATTAAAGAAACTTGTCACAAATTAGTAAACAGTATTTCCTAGGAGTATCCAATAACAGATGGTTTCCGAAATGACCTTTGGCACGGTCGCACGCAGCTAGTCTAATGGAGTTCGCCAAGCCCAGACAGACCAGACTACATTTACTTTGCATCGGTTGCAAAGTAAACCATTCGTAACGGGGGTTAGGGCGTGCGTGTTCTAAGAAAACTACATTTTATTGCACACGTGTTAGGAAATTGAAAAGTTTATTGTTCTCTAAGTAAGTGTAAGTGTGACCAAATATCTTATTTTTTCGTGCTATATTCTGTCCGCTCGCAGATTTTGCATGTGGACAGCATTGCGTAGCGTTTATTTTATTAAAAAATACCAGCCAAGTGTTTCTAATCATTCTACAAGGTTATTTAATTAACATTTAGAATCAGCCATTGTGATTTGCAAAAACGCTAGTTTTTCTATGGACTCCTACATACATACGTGAAAATACATGTATTTTGTGACAGAGTTCCGGTGTCAACATTCTTCCTTAATAACGAATCCATAAATGAATATAATTTTGAAACACAGCTTTTATATACGATGTAATGGAAGGTGACTTCAGACGTATCTCTGAAGTCATTTTTCAACTTGACGACTCTGTATAAAACGACACAGGGAGAAAAAACAGCCCTTGCTGAGTTTCTTGCCGGTTCTTCTCGTTCAAGGTCTCCCGCCGTAGTTTTGCGAACCGATGGCATAGCTTCTTCACCTTCACAAGTGCTTGTTACAGCCTAGACTGAATAAATGACTTTTCATTTCATTTCATATAGCAGCAGTATAATATCAGTCTCATATATAAATAATAAAATTCAAACGCGCATTTAACCCATATACATTAATAATATAGATTTAAAAGGCCCCAGTGTGTTTACTTAACTGAGTAGTTTTCAATCATTTATCTTTCAGTCTACCACTAACTAGTGCAATATTGTGTTTCATATCAGATTACCTATGGGCTTGATCCGATAACGAAACAGCACGAACAGAATGATTTCTCAATTACTTACCACGTTGTTACAACAAACTCCAACAAAATATAAAACGGACGACCTCCGTGGCAGAGTGCTTTTTACTCATGTGTCACCGACTGGAGAGGTCCCGGGTTCAAATCCCGATGGGGGCAGATGTTTGTGTGATGAATAAGAGCACCTAGGCTCACCGGGAAACCTTCAAGAGGCTTCACCAACGTGAAGACCCTGGGGGCCTTTCTGGCGGAGCTGGGTTGGCTGGAGTGATTCCGGCCATACACCCTCCTCACGCAAAACAGGCGCCATAAGGACGTCGAGTTACGGAAACGCCCGTAGCAACAAGAAGAAGAAGAGCATTTGTACTCCAGTAATGAATATTTAATATGTATTTCTCTATAAAATATGCTTATATATGTACTGTATATGTATTCTACCCGTTATCCTAGTATCACATAACACAGCCTTACAATGCTTACTTTGGGGCTAGGCAAATTGGTGTGTGTTGGAATAAAAAAAACTAAATAATCTAAAATATGGAACGTTGGGATAATGCTAGATATGATCCAATCTCAAAGTCAAACTCCTTACTCTACAGTCTGAAATTGGCCATGCAATAATGATACTGTAGAATAAAATTATACATTAAATAATATTACTACAGTAGGCAGTTGTAGCACTCTGATAGACAAGCAGCCGGCAACTGGAATAACTAAGTGTGTGTAAACAAAACACAATCTGACAGTCGTACAATGTTAATTATTATTACTCACTGATAATAGCAACTACATAATTAGTCATCATTATGAATTTACAACAATAATATAAGCAATTATAGTTGATAGGTAAGCGTTCTTTGGAATTTATTTCAAATGTGAAATAAAATTTAAAGTATGTATTTTGTCTACGAAAAAAATTTAAGACTTATTAATCCCACGTAAAAATAATTGTAAAAAAACTCGCAAGTAATGCAATCATAATGTGCCTTAATTCAAAACCGGCATTCAGTATTTCTTCCTGATCCAACTGTCTAGAAAATTACCGATACTAATTTAATTATGTAGAAATTTTAATTGGAATTGCAGCCCATTTGGATAACTATTTATGATAGAATATTAAGGAATATTTTCTCTTAATATTCCTACTTGCGCCACCTAGTCGAGTAGTTCGACCAAACGGAAACTTGTTCCTGTTGGACAAACAAGTTTGACCACCAGGAAATTTCGGGATGTGACCTAAGTATTACGGTTCACGAGATACATACAATATACAATTCTGCTTCGTTATGGGGCTTCAATAGTATTCCGTTGTCATCCTTTGGACATTAAATCCTTATGTGACCGTTTTATTAGGTATATTACCCTAGCGTAACAATTTCATAAGTCCATATACTAAGGTATATTGTATTTTGTTGCTATTTTGTGCCGCAAAAATTGATTTTTTTGCTCCAATATTTCTCCGAAAAACGCCTGTTTCGCTAGCGAAACC